GTCAAAGAAAATGAATATGGAATGTTATATACAGAATTTCTGATACAAGAATTTAATTTTAGACTGACTATGCTTGTCAAATCTTGCATTTTGCAATTGTAGCAGGGTTATTAAGAAATTGAATAGAACCAAAAATTTAATATACTTTTACAATAAAGAAGATAGTTTCATTTTAGTTTTGGTATTATAATATCTCCATGGAAATTTTGAAATTTCAGAATATTAATTGAATATTTTTATACAAGGCAAATAACAGAGAATGCCATAGCTGTATAATCTATATAAGTTGGGTATATAAATTCTTTCTCTGAGCCAATTTTTTGTAGAGAGGGATAGTCCAATTAAATTTACAATGCTTAAAAGGGGTGTACAGCAACTTTGTTCATTTTGTCATTCAGAAATCTTGCAGAAATTTTACCTTTTGCTTTCCTATTTGGTTTTGTGTCTCACATCTTGTAAGTGGATACTGTACTCCTTTTAATGGAGATTCTACCTGGATTATTTTATATCTAAGAGACATTAACTGAGAAAAAATATTTTATTATGTTGTATATATGACAAAATTAAATGATAATATTTCAATTTTATTCTCAGTATGGACATGTGTTTATCTGATTGTAACAACTATTAATGGCCATAGTGTATCTAATAGTTTTATTCAGTTAATTACTTTTGTTATTGAAATTTCTAGTCATAATTAGGATTAACAGATTGTTGCTCCGGTAAAGTTTAATAGAGTATGGGTGTTCAGTGCCTCGCCAGTCCAAGGTGTAAGGAAATATTTGCCCAAGGTAAATCTGTTGTATTTTATTTCCCCATGATAGAGATGTCATAATGTGAGTAGATTTTGTGGAATCTCTTTACTAGCAGAGAGAAAAAAGGAAAGAATAAAGAAAACATTTGTGCTGTGCACATATTTTTTGTTCATAGTCTGGTTACTATGATGAAATGCTGCAGCCAAATTCTCCCAAGAAACTGGTGCAATTTTTTTTTTTTTACCACAAATATTTTTTTTCCTATATTTTACAATAGTTTCACTTGTGCAGTCAGGACAATAATAGTTAAGCTAGTTTAGGGGAGGCCTTTGACTTTATGTATGGAAGTTGTATGGTTGCAAAGATGCCCATTACCATTCCAAAATTTGCTGTCCTTCATGAATGGTCTAAACTTGGTTAAATATTAATTGTTGTGCCTGTACTTGTCTTGCACACAGGGAGTTTAGTTAGCTTTAAGTCTACCCGCTGAGATTAATCAAGACTTTGAGTGTGGCCTTTTATCATCAAAAATTAGAGAAAAAAAAGCATAAAAAAAATCGGTGTACTGGAGTATAGTCATAGATTTACATAGACACCCTGAAATTGAACTGCGCTTCTAGATTCCTGTGTGTTGTGTCTGTTTTTTTTCTTTCTTTTTCTCTTTCTTTTTTAATATAATTTTTTTTTTGTTTGTGGTTCTTGTGCATGATTCATTCTGATTTATTTCTCTTCCGTTAAAGGTTTGGTGTATATAATTTGAAAAAAAAAGAAAAAAAATGTAGAGAATCATGTTACACAAATGTACATATGTAAAGAGAGGAATACTATTTTAAAAGTTACTTTGTGTTTAATTCCCCTTTGCTACTTTGACAATTATTATTATTAGTAGTAGTAATTTTTTTTTGAACTAGACATTAACCCCTTTGATCCAGATGATGTGATCATCAGGTCTTGAAAAAATATGGCTTGAGGGGTAGGCAACATGAACATACTGTCAAGGGAATATTTAGCTAAGTTAGATTGGGATGACAGGATCTTCCCATCATGTGAATTTTGGCTGAAGACCGGGGTGATGAGAATGATTAGCAATGAGTGCACAAAGCTCTTGAGGGTAATTAGACCTAGTGGACATTTAAGATGGGGCTTTTGCATTATTTCCATTGAAAAATGAGTGTGGAATGTACTACCTGTGACCCATGCCTGGAAGGACGTCGGCCCTACGGATGACGCTGTTCCCATGCTTAGATCCTATTCCTGCCCACCTTGAATAGCAGCACAGGTTGTATTACAGGAAACTGAATAGTAAAAGAAAAAAAAAAAAAAAAAAAAAAAAAAAAATGTTGCATTGGGGAGACACAGTCTTATCACCTTACAAGTGTGTTTGTGTGTGCCCAGCCTACAAGCTGCATACCCATCAGTGTGGGCGCTCCAGTTAGCCTAATACCCGCCATGACACTGAAGCATCTGCATTCAAGGGGTTAAGAAAGTGCAATTTGACTGACCAGTCTGTGCAAAGTAAGAACATGATTTAATACGGTATTTCATGGAAAATATGATATGGGACTTGATGCATGGAAGTTTTTCTAATTCACTAAGCAGACAACCAAAATAAATATAATATATACTCATTCCATTTATTATACAAATACACTTAAAGTGTATAAATATACACATCAAACAGTGAAATATGCTTGGCACTTGTATAACTGCAGATTTAGAAAAAAATCAACTAGCAGATAATATACTTTACAAGTCTCTGTACATTTACACATAATGTGAGCATATACACACAATGCATGCATATACAAACAAGTTGTGAAAGAACTTAAAACAGTTCTAGTATTATCAAGGCTTTAATGCCTACTGATAGATTCAGTATTCAGATGATCATTGCTGTTCTCATCAAATTACATCTGTGACCAACGTGATTAAACCAAACATAATTTATAGTCCTTTATAATAAAACTTCCATTACTTTCTTTGTAAATAAGATTAAAACACAATGAAATTACTCTTAAACTGCCATCTCATATGTCTAATTAGGAAGTGCAAATACAAGTTTTTATGTGACACCTTTGTTTCAATTATCAGATTTGGGAACACTGACTTTCTTGCCAAGAAAAGAATACAATTCAAAACTCCAAAGCAGAATACCAATATAACAGTCCATAACACTTCTGTAGGGATCTTGAAATCTAAAGAAGTTTAATAACAAACTACTAGGAAACTCATCACTTAACAGCACACTTAGACCCAGAATTCCTTGCATTAAAGTTATCGGAGATTTATGTCTTGGATAAAAGGCACATTTTAAATCATTTGAAGAATTTCCTCATT